CTCCATATTGGTCACCACATCTAGAGAAAACTACCAGAAACCTGTACCTTGGCCATAAGTTGCACGGCATGAGAGAGCTGTCCTTGGAGAGTACCTCGGATGAGAAACATCCCCTGAAGAATGGATTGGCGAATCTGTTCCTCTTCTTCCGGAGTCATATCCACCTCGGGTGTCTCTCCCTTAACAAGAAACCATTAAGTCTAAAATATGGAGAATAGTCCCTGTGTCATTCCTTTCTGAAACCAGGGTATTATGATTGTATCACAGCGAAGACAGATATCTACGCAAAGAAAACACTTCTCTTGAAGAGTCTCCTACTATAGTTGCCTCAAAAGAGCTCGTCAACTCAAAAAATCCCAAATTTTATTGTGGGCTGGTGAAGTACCACAAATGAGAAGAGCATTACAAAGGTTCTCAAGGGTCGCTACTTACTAGGTTCTATTAGGGTTTTCAATACCTACTCATTTCGCCAATCACAGACGAAAAACAAAAAAAGAAATCTGCTGCTTACCCAATTCTTTCTTATAAAGTTCTTCAGCGCAACAGCGGCCGCCATGCGAATCTCTGGCACCGCTTCATCGGAGCAAACAAGTTGAAGAAGAAGCGTTGCAAACCCTACAGGAAAGAGTGATTCAGGATTCACAAACTTTCGAACAATGACTGGTATTTGCCGGAACATTTAAGTGTAAACAAAAAGCTTAGGGCCCTATTCTGAGAGGGGGGGGGAGCGGGAGAAGCATTTTGTTGGAAAACTTTGTACCTACTACAATAACCAGAATTTTTGCAAAAGAGGGAGCTACGGGATGGATGGACCAATTCGTTTACGGCTCATAGACCCCTAGGCTGGTGTCAGAGTCCGCGATCCGTCGCACGAATCGCGCGACGGATCACAGAAATCACAAGTGCCCGATCAATACTGCGAGGTGCTCTCCAACCCGCCGCCATTCTGCTTGATGGTGATGGCTGAATGACGACTGTTCATGATTCTACTTGTTTCATATTCAGTGTTTCAAATGTTCAAATGGGCACTTGCGATTTTTGCGATTCGCGCGAATCGCGCGAAACCTGCGACGGATCGCGGACTCTGACACCAGCCTTACAGTGAAAGATGTTCCAAGGTTTCGGAAGCCTTGAGCCCTCTCCACCAAAATGTCTCCCCCCTGACAGGATGGAACCAATATCTGTAAAGGAAACAGCATAATACTATTTTGGAAACAAAACGGTTTTTCTGGGTAACAAGATGAAATCAACCACACCTGAAACTTTTTCGAATTCAAAAATCCGATTTTCAGCTTGTTTCCTTATATTAGGATCAAGCTGAAGTGTTCCCTGTAGGGCGAGTGTCACCTGCTGAACATTCCCATCCATCTCTGCAATTTCAAAATTGAGAGATAGTTCATCGAGGAACGGTTGACGATTGCTCAAAACTGACATCAGTTCAAATGGAGTCAAGAGCATAAGATGAACTACTTCATGAGATTCCGGGAGAAATAAGCTCTAAATGAAGACATAACAGTCAACGAGAAAAGTAAAACAAACGGCCATCAAAACGTTAGTACTTTCGTTCCGCACGGCAACTACGAAACTAATTCGAAAAATCGCGCTCCATCGCCAATCCCGCCCTGGCGCCATTTGAATCGAATCAACTATGCGCAACTAGGCTTTTTCCTCCTTCAAGAGGGCAAGCGACTAGGCACTAATGTTAAACTTTTGCCCATGAAAAGTGGTTCACGCACCACCACCCACCAATAAAATTTCCTCAATATTCCACTGGCCACTCGCCTTACAGCACATGGTTTAGTCGCTCACGTCCATCTATTCAAGACGTGACCCGACATCAGGCTTCGATGATGGGCAAAGTAGAGGCCGTACCTGTCTTCCCAAGAGCTAAGGTGGAAGAGGAGTCTTTACATTTCTCTGTCTTCCCAGTAAAAATCGCCCCGAGAAGGGGGTCTCATCCAGTAAGGGGGCATCAAGTGGCTGCCCTCACCCCCACCCCCTAGACTGCCTACACTCCCCCTGGCGCACAGGTTTCTCGAAGTACGGGACCCCGTGAGCCAGGGGGAGTGAAGGCAGTCTAGGGGGTGGGGGGTGAGGGCAGCCACTTGACGTTGCATCACAATGCCCCCCCCCCTTACTGGATGAGACCCGGTCGTACAAGTTGTATGTTTGATCCTATTGTGTGTAAAGAGCAAGCATGTGCGAAGTAAAAGGCACCTTGGATTTTTGAGAACAAATAAATTAAAGGAACTCTTGGGAGTTCGCCCTAGTTTTTGGCGGAAGTTGGATACGCCCCAGAAGTGATGAGAGATACGAAGCGGTTCCCGGAAAGGACTGCTCAAAATTGTAGGAAAGGATCCATTATTCATGGAGGATTGCAGTTTTCGGCGTAACTTCAAAAACATGTAATCATTCAATTTCATAACTTGCCGTAAACCTTCATAGTTATCGCAACGCAGAAAGCTTGTGGATGTCGAAGCTGTTTTCCATATCTGCACAGAATTGTCCATGAAAGAAGGTATGGTCGTTGAAGGGGTGGCAGCCGAAGGAGAACCTCTCGACGAAACTCGGCCGAAAATTTAAAGGCACAACCCAGGCAGAGGTCGTGTGAACGCTTCTCTTCGGTCTGTAGTATAGACCCTAGAGGACAATCACAAATGTGGTTCCCGTGCACGGAAACCGAACCGACAAGAGCGCTTGGGCCTTGCAAAGTAAGCTGCTAAGCTGCAGATTTTTTTCTCTTATCAGGTGTCTGGCGCTCTCTCATCTGTAGCGCTCTCTCGCCTCATACTCTCCTCTCCGCGCTTAGTCTCTCATTCCCTTAGCACAGCCAATTAGGAAGGTGAGTGAGCCCTTAACCTGAGCGTTTTCGACGGATTCTTTTCCTTTTTTCTTTACTGCCGGCCCACTTCGCACCAATACATTCGCATTCGTGTGCAAGAGCCACACCAATGTGATCCTGGGGCATGCCTTTAAAGTGATTCTGATTACGCTCTAATCTTCTAGCTAATAGGCTGTTACCTTTCGTGATTGATGCATTTGAAGAAAATTAAGGCTTCTGAAAATGTAAGAATCGTTTTTATCAAGAATTTTCCCAGTTATTTTTGTAAAAATCCACAGAGGCCATTTTGACGTATTGAACAGGAAATCATTTCAGGGCGCAATGTGGCTCGGAGGAGGGGAGGGGGCGGGAACACCCCGTGACACTGTTCAGGGTTACGATAACGCCGAGTTCTGGAGCGGAGTCTTAGAGGAGAAGAGGACTCCGGGGTTCGTAAGCACTTTCATTCTCTTCGCTATTCGTCCATAGGCCCAGTCATAGGGGTCTCCCTAAGACCGCGTCCCCTCCTCCCCCCCCCAAGGCACATTGCGTCTGCATTCTAATAAGCGTTGATTAGAACAAACCTTCTAGTTTACAGCGCTACATCATTTTTGCGATTTGGCGCAATTGGGGAATTTCCATCTGAAACTCCGCCTAGCGGGGGGAGTTGGGGTAATTCACTGCCCTGATCACGACATGACATTCGTTTTATGATGACGAAGCTACCAGGCGCCCTTTTCTTTTCTTCAGGAAACTCGCTAAAACTTACGAATGGGGATAAGTTGGCATCCTGATTGCGAGTATGACACGTGCTTTTAAGTATGACGCCATCTCATGCCAGTTGCACGCAATTCGGAACCAAATCAGCATCAAGCCGGCGCCATGCGCCGATTTTTAAAAAAGGATGTCACATCCGCAATTAGGGCATCGAATTACCCTCCATAAGTGAAGAGCCGAAGAGAAAACTTAGCTTCAGATGTTCATGTATTACAATGTCGAAAGTTAAAGGCAGCGATTACGATAGGTTCAAGAAGGGTTTAGAGGAGACGTGGTGGTGCTCAATGGTACGCCAGTGGCGAAAAAAGCAGAGAAATCCGTCAAAAAAACGGGACCCCTTTTTTGGCCGTTGGTTTTCACTCATGAACAGGTAACAGCTCAGAAAGCGGACGTATGAACGAGTTCACGCAACGCGTTTGGTGGCACCATGCCAAACCACGCTCCAATCGAGTGCTCCAGTTGTGCCGCTGCTGGCAACGCAGCTCGTCCAAATCACCAAGTAAACTAGTGGGCGGATCGCTTTTGGGGCGGAGTGCTTTCGAAGTCCTGCTCAGCAACCAGCGCACCTTTCGTCGTGAAAGCGCCACACCTCGCTTCCCTGGCAGCCAAGTAACTGATTCGTGTGGTGCATATGCTTCCCCGATGCGCTCCCTCTTTATCGTAATCGCTTCCTTTAAGATCATTTTTCTCTATATCGTCGAAGAGACTTGGTTCTGAAGAAACCGCTCGCATTGATCGATTCTCAGGAGTCATGTTCAGTCTTTTGCATC